GCAGCTCGGCCTGCGTGCCGGCTGCGGGGTGGCGAACAGAGACGTCCAGCAACCGGGCCCCGTCGTCTTCCTGGTATTACAAATCCAGGATGACGCGCTCGAGCTGGCCGTCTGGGCGCTGGCGGTCCCAAGTCGGCACCCTCTGCTCGAGGAGGGGCCGCTCGCCGCGCCAGCGGTGGAGGAGCCCAGCGACCCTCCTGTTGAGTCCGCCGTGGCGCGCCAGCCCCCCCCCGCCCCGCTGGCAGGTCAAGGAGTGGTAGCCGCGCTCGCCCAGAGCCCCGGCGCAGCCGGTCCCGTCGGCGCCGCGCAAGCAGCAGGCGGCCCCATGCCGTCGCGAGCCCCAGCTGGATGAGTTCCGCGCGCGGGAGCTGCAGCCGCCGCCTGGCGCAGGTCTCCCAGTGGGCGTCCTCCAGCGTGCAGAGTTCGTCCTCCAGGTAGGTCAGGTAGGCGCCGCTGCCGCTGCCGGCCGCCCCCCGAAGCTCGGCCTGTCTGGGAAGATGCAAGCGACGCAGCAGAGCAGCGTGCTGGTTTCTTTGAACCTTCTCCGTCGGTAGGCCTTGCTTCAGAGGCGTCTGCAGCGCAGTCGCCAGGCCCCCGCCCGCGGCGAGCTCCAGCCCTTGGTCTTGCAACCCGCGCCGCGCAGTGGCGAGCTGCTGGGCCGCCCGCGGCAGCCGTTCCAAGCAGTCTGCCCGCGCCCCGCTGCCCTGGTCCTCCGTGACCTCCTCCGCCGCCAGCGCCCAGGAAGCCAGGAAAGCCGCGTGGCGGCGCGTGCTTGCCAGCTGCGCGCCCAGGCCCCCGAAGCGGGCTGGGAGTTCCAGTGGCTTCTTGGCTGAGTCGCCGAGGTCCCGCTCCAGCAGGTCCCGCTAGCAGCCCGCGAGCAGGTCGTCGTACTGCTCCGTCGCGGCGTCCGTCGCGAGCTCCATTCGCAAGGAGTGCTGGCACTGAGTGCTGGCTTGCCGGGCCTGCGCAGGCGCGGAAGAGGGCTGCCGTCGCGTGCTTCTTGAGCCCTGCCTTGTGCAGCTTCTGAAGCTTTTGGTAAAGCGTCTGAAGCTTCCTCCCAGCTGCGGCGAGGCTGTTCGGCGGCCCCCCAAGGGCTGCCAGCGTGCTGCTGTCGGCATCGCCCGGCGGTCGCAGGTGTGAGCACGGCCCGCCCGGCTGGGGACCAAGCAGCTGTCTTCGCGGGGTTCAGCCGCAACCCGAGGGGCTGTAGAGCTTGCTGCAGGGCTTGCAGTGCGAGAACAGCCAGCGCGGCCTCCACCACCAGGTAGGAGTCGCCCAAGTAGCTGTACAGCTTCGCCTGTGGGCCCAAGCGGAGCAGCTCTTCGTAGAACCTGTCAAGGGCAACCCTCTGCGCCGCGGAGAACGCAGCGGGCGACAAGGGGCCCCCCCGGTCAAACCCCCTCTCGCTTTGAAGCGGGTGGGGACGACCCCCCGCACGCTAGGAGAGCTGCCGCGGCCACCTCGTCACGCTCTGCCATGGCCGTCAGGGCGGGCGCCCGTTCTAGGGGGGGAAGGCGGCCTCCAGGTCCAGCTTCAGGAGGACTGCCGTGGGCCTGGTTTCCGCCTGGGCCTCCAGCATCCGCAGCAAAAATTCGGCGCTGCCTGGCCTCTCGACCCCGTGCTGCCTGTCACCAGCTGACGCCCGCAGTTGCTCCTTTCTGACCCGCGCCAGTGCTCGCAGGCCCAGGCGGCGCACCGTGGAACCCACGATGAGCGGCCGTACGTCGCCGCCTTCCTTGCGGAGCGCCGTGACCTCCCCGGCGCGGAGAACGGCCAGGGCCTCACCGGGCAGCATGCCGAAGGCGATCCACGATATCGCTTCCGAGAGCCATCCCAACGTCTCGGCGCACCGCTTCGTGTCTCCGAGGTGCTCCAAGCGGCAGCCTAGCAGCCCTGGCGCCGAGAGGCGGGGCGGCCTCCGCAGCAGTTTCACTGTCTCCTCCTGGACGCTCTCGAGGATCTCTGGCGGAGGCCGCGGGATGCCTTCCAACGACGGTGCGGGCTGAGCAGTCTCGCAGAAACACGCCTTGATCTTGTTCAAGGTGTCCGGAGCGCGAGGGGGCCAGTCTGCTGCTGGCCGTGGCTCGCAACGCCCGGCCTTCTTCTCCGGCTGCTGCCAAAGTGTGTACCCGCGCCGCCCTTTGCTTGTCGCTGTTCTTGGCGGCCGCCACTGGGATCTCCGCCCGTGCCGGACGGACGTCCAGAGCGCGTCCCACTGGGCCCCCCAGAACCACGCGAGGCGCTCCTCAAGCAGCTCTGCACACGTCGCGGCTTCGTTGCTGGTGCTGAGAAGGAGGAGGTCCAGCACCAAGGACAACTTCCACTCATCCTTCGCCTCCCCGCGTTCCCGAGCGTGCCGAAGGACTTCCAAAGACTTCCAGCGCACATGGAGGACGGCGCCGCGTAGTCTGTCTTGGATCTGCACATACGTAGTGGCCCCTGTGGTTGACAAGTCATCCCATGGCAGGGCTGCCCACCAGTCCTGGCTGGGTAGCTCGTTGTCGTTCCAAGCTGGATGCTGTCTGGGATGGTGTTGCTGCTGCTGCGCCGGCGGCACCCTTCCAGCGGCGGCTCCTGCTCCGCCAGAAGCTTCGCGTGTTGCCGTCTGCGCTCGCGCCGCCTCGGCGCTCAAAACATCGCATCTCCCATGAGGCCGGAACTCCGCGCCAGGCGGCAGCCGGCCCTTCAGGCAGGTAGTGCACATCCAGCGTGAACACGTGCGGTTGCCCCAGGTGCACAAGCGCAACTCGCCTGTTTCAACAACCAGGCCACCAGACCTGCAAGCGGCCGATCGTGCCGATGCCCCTTGCACATCGACCGCCCAGATCGTTGCCCGAAGCTGGGATGCCAGCCGGGCGCTCGCATCCACCTCCATCGTGTCCTCCTGCTCCTCCCCGCCCGGCTCCTGGCGCCGCCGGCCGCCGGCTGCTTGCGCGCCTGCGGCCGCATGGGAAACGTCGACTTCCCTGGCGCGCCGCCCCCCGCCGAAGGGGCTGTGGGGGGCGTGCCCCGCCCCCCGCGGAAGGGGCGTGCGCCGCCCCCCACGGAGGAGGAGGAGGAGGAGGAGGAGGAGGAGGAGGAGGAGGAGGAGGAGGAGGAGGAGGAGGAGGAGGAGGAGGAGGAGGAGGAGGAGGAGAGGAGGAGGAGGAAGGAGGAGGAGGAGGAGGAGGAGGAGGAGGAGGAGGGGGGAGGGGGAGGAGGAGGAGGAGGAGGAGGAGGAGGAGGAGGAGGAAGGAGGAGGAGAGGAGGTGGAAGAGGAGCGGGAAGGAGGAGGACGAGGAGGAGGAGGAGGAGGAGGAGGAGGAGGAGGACGAGGAGGAGGAGGAGGAGGAGGAGGAGGAGGAGGGGAGTAAGAGAAGCTGGAGGGTGATCAATCCTCGAACCCCCCGCGGCTCAAGACCCGCTCAGGGTCGGCCCCTGGGACCCCTCCCGAAGTCCGCCGTGGCCCAGGCCTCTGCGCGCCGAGCCCCGCCGTGGCGCGCCGAGATGAGGGACGCAGAACGGACGGCACGAGGCCGCTCTGTTGGCACCCGGAGGGTCTGGGTGAGGAGGGCTGCAGCCGAAGAGGTGATGAAGAGACAGCCATGATCAAGACACCTGGGCCCGTTTCCCAGACATTTCCTAAAACAAGCCCTCCTCCTCCTCCTCCTCCTCCTCCTCCTCCTCCTCCTCGGCCAGATGATCGCTAGTGCTGCAGGGGCGAGCTTCAGAAGCTGGGCCGGCTCCCGGGAAGCTGGTGAAGGGACGCTGGCCCAGCTTCTCGGGAGGAGGTCTCTGAATCGCGTGCTCGACGCGGTAGGAGAGCAGCCATGGAAAGATCTAAGGAGCATCGAGCCACTTCCGAACCCGACGTGTTCCTTACGTCAGCGTCTTACCTGTACCATGCTTCCAGCGGCCAGGACAGTGACTTCGGCGAGCAAGAGCCAGCGTTCGGTGAACGCGCGCGCGCCCCGTGCAGGAATTCCTCCACCCGACGGAGGCCCACGAGCCCCTAAGCGATCTCGCCGCCAGGCGATCGACGACAGCGGCGGCGGGCGACGCTGACGGCGGCGTCGGCGTCGGCGACGGGTTACCTTGAGCCCTCATCGCGCATCCAAGACGAAGACTCTCCATAACATTGAGGATAGACCAAGACACCACTGCATAAACGCGCACTTTCGACGGTCCGCGGGGACCGTCGAAAGTTTATGCTCATGCCAGATTCTATTGTTCGGAAGGATGAGGCACAGCGTCGACAGATGGTCTATCAGAGACCGCCTACCCCTGGACCAGATCGGTGACCGACTTGGCCGATGCGCCGATGGCTCGGGCGGGGGGACTTCCTTCGAGGCCCCGATTCGCTGGCTTCGGCACGAAGATGCGGTGGGCATGAGACACTATCACCAACTGAACCTTGAGGAGGAGCAGGAGGAGGAGGCGGAGGAGAAGGAGGAGGAGGTTGGAGCGTCGTCGGGGGGGAGTCAGGTCAACTCCTCATCAACGCCGTCGCTGCCGCCTGCGACGCGTACCGCCGAGGGGCAATTCAACGGCCTGCAGGGCTGCTCGAGCTAACGTGTTCGAGTCGGCCATGCTGAATTAGATCGATGAAGCCTGACGTACTCTCTTGGTGGATCAGACGATCCAAATTGAAGTAGAGTGCTATGTATTCAAAAGTTCCGGGTTGGAGACGACGACGACCAGAAGCAGGCAACCCTATGCACACCCTCGCGGCCGTGCCGGAGGCAGGGGAGGACGCCCGGGAGCGGGAGCGGGAGCGGCGTCCCCAGCCTCGGGCGTCTCGAGGTGCAGCTGCGCCATCAGGCTGCCGTCGCGCCCGATGATGGCGACAACCTGGCGGTCGTCGGCCTCCTCCTCCTCCTCCTCCTCGTCCTCCTCCTCCTCCTCCTCCTCCTCCTCCTCCTCCTCCTCCTCCTCCTCCTCCTCCTCCCCCTCCTCCCCCTCCTCCCCTCCCCCCATCCCCCCCCCTCCCCTCCCCCTCCTCCTCCCCACCTCCCCCTCCT